TATATAAATAGTACTAAAAAGTCTTGTAACAAAGACATTTAATATTCCAGAAAATGACAAATATATTTCTCTTATTTAACCCAAAAAATTTGTACTATATCTAGAAAAATTATAATCCAGAAATTACCCAATTTTTTACATTACTAAAATTAAATATACTTACCTTGTGCAGATATAGAAAATAATGCGAAATTATGATGCATCAATTAATATATATATTAACTACAGACTGAGATGTATGAAATCATAATAATTTTAATCATTTTATTTATATTTTTCTAAGGTATTTCCGTATTATTTTCATATTTTCATAATAAAGTAAAATCGTCAATAAATTAAATTGCACCATTATTTATTTTAAATACTTCACTTGTTCAGCATCTAAAATGATATAAAAGTAACAGAGTATAATTTTAATGAACGTCAAATAAAAATCGTTAATAAAATAAAAAATTAGGACGCAGAATTATCTAAATGAATAATAAATGACACACACACACAGATGACAATGGTCTTCGATTAAACAATTTATTCGTACGAAAATGTCAAAGAAAGATATGATTATTAATAATTTAACACTGAATCATCCGATCATTCTCGTAACACGTTTAACAGAGCATGTTTTACAGATTTTTCACCTGCATCGGCTAAAATTACATGCGAATAAATGATTTAAGGGTAAAACTTAAAGAGAAACCTAGCCTTTGGCGAGTCGCGAAAGCCAAGCATCGGCGCAAGATCGCGAATCTCGCTGATGCGTGAAAGACAACGAAAGGCGGAACGGATATAGTGAGGTATTAAATTCGAATTTTATTTGTTTCGCTCACAGAGGCCTGTGACGCTGAGGAATTAACTCGAGTGATTATTTTATGGCTCCCTAAATTTATAAGATCCTTATTGAAATTGACGTAAACAGTCTTCTTACAATGCTTGTTCCCTTGCGGCATTACAATAATCGAGACGAGATTTTTTTTTTTATGAAATCGCCGAATCGTCATCGCTGCGACTCCCATGCGACGGCCGAATTCTGCCACTCTTCGAGAGTGGCACCCTCTCTCTTTCTCTCCTTTCTCTTGTCGGCGCTCTAAACTCGAAATATCGACTAAATCCCCCTAAACGCGTGTTCACGCTAATACGAGTTGGATCGTGCGACATACATGTGATATTATTGTAATATATAAATACGAGAAGGTTTCTAGCTAGAGAATAAATTATTAAAATCTATCTAATTGATCGAAGGAGAAACGGGAGAGGGAGACGATCCTTAATTGTCTACCTATCTATTTACATTAAGGAACGAAATGCATGTTGTGCGAGTCCACGTCGTCCGCGACTCGCGGAGCTTCGCCGCGCTTACGATGGAAACGCGGAAATGCGAGACTTCCGCGATTTCGCGACAGGACGCGGGAACGCTTCGAAGCTTCGCTCGTTTTATTTTTTACTAGAGTAAAATCGCGTCCGTGACGCGACGCGCGCGTGTTGTGGCAGTGGTCGCTCAGAACTCGCTGATTAAGGCAGTTGGGCACGCCTCGAACGGAAAGGGATAAGTCGGTAGTGTCCCCCGACGAGAAGGGCACTTGACGCACGGGGATCGATTGGCGGTTGCCGTCCGGCAACACGCTGACACACGATTGAGAACAGTCTTTATTTCGCGTCGAAGATCGCAAAGGGTCGTTACAGTTGCTATCATCATCGTTATCATCTTGTGATCTTTGCTGGTTGTTGTTACTCAAGAATCTCTCTTGTAATCAACTGTTTGCTTCTTAATGATTCGGTAAAACGACGCACGACAATTTCTTTCTTGTCTCTGTAAACCACCGAGAAGCAAGTTTACAGAAAGGCAGGAAAGATTTCTCGTTATGCGAAGTTATGCCAGCAATAACCATTTCATTATTACTCCCACAACGCAAAAAATTTTCTTTCATGACACGACGGATCGGAACAACTTTCAATTTCGTCGCGAATGATGAACACGATGCTACTTAGCAACGCGCATCTTTGATAAACGAAAGTCAAATATACAGCGATATACAGACGATATTTGTAATCTCCGTCATAAAGTAATATTAATAAGAAATAATATCACACGAGTATAAAAAAAATACAAGAGACTGGACAAAAGAAGGAAGATATCGCGCCTCTAACGCTTTAATAACGCGTAGAAACGCTTTTTTCTAGAAATAAAAATAGATGGAGGAAGGACTTACTAAAATTACTATTAAAATTGACGCTCGACGAAACTGGCCTTCACAGTTGCGTAAAAACGTGAATAGCCATTAAGTGCGGTTGTTAATGGCCATTTTCGATTAGAATCGCCGAGACAAGCGCGTTACTTCTGCACGATACATCGCATTTGTCCGCGCAAATATTCCCTTCGCCGACCGCCGGGTGGACAACTTACCGTGTAACCAATTCACATTCCTCGACTTTAACGATCACGAGTCTTCAAACGATCATTACGTGCCTTCTCACATATCTCCATTTGTCTCTCGAACAAATTTTTGCATTCTATGCAAATGCTGAGAGACCGCTTGTCGCACGCCAAATATTTATTTATTCACACAGAATATGTGTCTTTCCTGGAAACTGACGTCTGACAGTGAGTTCACAGTGCTGGAATGTTCGTGAAAAGTGCAGTCTCCCGTCGACAATGCGCGTTTAAATTAACATTCTTTGCGAGAGTGTCACCTAATATGAATTTTCGGACAAAATCTTGACCTATCTCGCAATATCATAAATAATATTAATTTGGAAAATGGAAGATACGTTATACGCGAATATATATATGTACTGATACTGTCGATCTATCGCGCATATTTATCGCCCTCTGGAAAGGAACCAATCGTCAATCAATTAAACTGGAAGAAGCAAGATACGTCGAAGATACGTAAAAACAGCGTAAAAGATTCTTTCTTCACTTATCCTGCATAGTACTTAATAGAAGACTTTGTTTTCTTCTATTCGAAAGAATTCACTGGCGAAAGTCCTTAGCTTTCGGCGATCATTTCGCAACAAAACTTCGAAGCAAAACGAACGCGTTTATCACGCCCAATGCTCAATATCCGGATCGGATTGATTACATTGATTAGTTGCGAACATTACTTCGTGATGTCTCTTGAGTTTTCTTCCGACCAACCAAGTCTGAGGATCCGAATAACCTCATTACCAGCGTTATTTCTTTGTTCATCTCGTCGCAACGATCGCCGATGGGCGAGACGCTGGACGCAAACTCGGGTCACCAGGCCTCCGTATATCGAACGTCGAATTCCTGCAGGGCCGGCAGTCGCTTCTTCAAAGACTCAAATGTCTGAGCCGATAGCTTCGTGCTGTTCAGATTCAATTTCCTTAGGCTGGTTAATGCTGCAACGAAGCAATAGAACTTTCTTTGAGCAACAGAGATATACAAGTCATATCGAATAAATCGAAACTTGAAAATAAAATTAATTTAATTAAATTCAACATTAATTAAAATATTAAATTACATTTCTTACTTTTTACCTCGTATACAGTATATAGAAAAGTTGTACGCTTAATACTTTTCTACATGCATATCAATTAAGATATGTTATTTGATATACATGTTATTTCTTACTTAGTTTACTTAGTCTTTTCTAACTCTTTAATTCGCTTTCACACATTCATCATCATGATTCTTACAGAATAATTAAACCGTTGAAGTTTTCAGCTTTGGGATATACTTACAGGCCAACGTGGAGATGCCTTTGTCGGAGACGGGCGTCTCGCAGAGATTTAGCACCTGCAGCTTCTGCAAGTGCTCGCTGATCATCTGTAGGCCGGTATCACCGAACTGCGTAGCCCATAAGTTCAGGTATCTCAGCGCCGGTAACTTTATCAATTGTTCCGCGCACGCGGACGTCACGGAAGTGAAGGCCAGGCTGAGGCATTCGAGATTACCAAGGGCACGACCGCCTAGCAGAAGAGCGACGTCGGCGTCGGTCGCTCGTACCGGTAGTGTCAATTTCCGAGGTCCGCCTTTTTGTTGCTGACGAGATCAAGATCAAATATACATATCTCATACATAAGATTGTTTCAAGATATGATAAAATTTATCGTCATTCATTTAACAAAAAAAAAAAGAAAAAAAGAAGAGAGAGAAGAAACGCAGAAAAGCGATTGATTCTCCGCGTTGGCTTGAAATAAATCGCAAATACGCTTACCAATTCCTGCAGGTTCTTCTGCCTCTGGCAGAGAGCGGCATAGCGCTTCTTCCCGGATTCCGTGGACTCAAGTGCGTTGATTATCTGAAGTCTTGCCTCTTCGTTTGGCAATAAACGCCACTCGAGCATCAAGCACAGAGTCTCTTGCGCTGCGTCGCAGCCTCGCACCGCTAGGAGAATGCAATCATCACCCGCCTGCTTCAGTAAGGACGCGATGAATCTCTTCCGCCGACAGCAGCACGCCAGTAGAGTGGTGAGCTGTTCGAGAATAAGCTGTTCTATAATAACATTTGTGAATCTTCCGAGAAATCTAAATTAGACGCGGGAAAAATTCTCAATTCTTCCTTATTTCAATTACATAGACAATGTATCACGGGGATGTACGTTAAAATTCATCAATGACAAAGTCAAGAATGAAATTTCTGCCGTAAATAGAAAATAGAATTTATTCGATCAAGCAAGAATCATCCGTTATATCCTTCGCTCGCTCGTCCCGTGATTACTCAATAGACTTCATTAATTCCGCGCGAACGGTGGCGGTTCGGTTTCGGCGGTTATTTCTGAGAGGATTGGAATTGAGAGATGCTGTCAATACGAATCCATTGAAGACGACCGCGACCGCGACCGCGCATCTCAAAAGAGTAATTCATGAATATTCAGATGAATCTCCGATCGAATCGCTCCGATCGTCGCTGAGCTTCGTGCCTCCTCGGGAATTGTTTTTGAACGACAGATCTTATTCCGGCCTGTGTTATCTCGCGAAAGCCGGAGAAGCGCAATTCGGAACGTCTGGCTCGCGAGATTACGTTATTGAATATACCACAATCGTTTCGCGTGCGGATAAATTCGATGCCGTTACACCGATAAGCGAGATAATTGCGATATCTGTCCGCTTATATTCTCTCTATTTCTCTGTTAGATTTATTACTTGTTACGTATAACCTGAATATATAAAACACGGTAGGAACAATTTACACGAGATAATAAGCAATTGCCTTTATAAGTAATTACCTCGGATATTTTAATTTTCGCAGTATCTTATTAGAAATATTTAATATCAAGGAAATTTTCTGCATACGTAAAACGTATTCTTGTAAACGTTATCATCTTCAATCGTAATCAATTAATGAAACTTTTAAAATCAAAAGAAAAAAGATGGAAAAAATAATAATATAAAAAATTAAAAAAAAACTGTGTTTTATATTTTAAAGTGTCAATGAAATTTTATAAATGTTATAAGGAATGTATTTAACAATATACGAGAGAAACGTAAAGAAGGAATAGAAATCCAATAGAATCTTACCATCTCGCCGAATAATTCTCCGCGGTCTGGGCAAGCCGGGCTAGACGGCGCGGCGATGTGGATCCAGCCTGGCCGCGGTTCTCTGACAGGCAGCAAAACACGATGCACCGTGCACCTCGGGTCTTTCGCCAGTCGTCGCATCACGCACAACAGAATGGACTCCTGCACGTCTCTCACGGTCAAAGCCTCTTCCGGAAACGGGACGGGTTGCAGCAGTCCCGCGAGACCCGGACACCAGTCAGCGTACTCCGATCTGCAATGCCGATCGCCTCCATATATGAAACGCGTTTTAGAGCCGAATGCAATTGAAGTGACGAACAGAGAGGATGAGAAGTACGTGTCAGGTTGGTCAAAGCGATACACTTACGCGATATTCAAGACGTGCAAGTAACACTGCAACGGCGGTAACGACGGCGGCTTCTCCTCATTCAATGACGCGCGACTCGACACCTCGAACCTGCGAAAGCGGAATCAACATTATTGAGAGTTTCCCTTGATTCGTGATACGAATATCTAGTTATATCCATTATAACTCGGAGGAAAACTTACCTGTGGAATATGGCCGCGACGCAAATGGACACGAGATTGGGGAGTACCCTCGGGTGCGGACAATCACTACCCGGCCCGTGAACTGACGAGATGTAATCTCTGATCGCCTGCTCGCCGTCGTTATTCTCGTACAATGCAGCGATAAACACCTATACATACGGAACTCAATGTTGTAACTTTCGCACATTCGCGCTTTCTTACCGCTTATCGCGAGTTATAAATTGCCCAACTAATTATCGTAAAATTATCGTAAAACAACAAAGGTTCATTTTTCTTATATCTGACTCCTATATCAATAAAACTAAAAAAAAAAAAAAAAAAACTAAAAAAAAGAAAACGAAACGACACGATCTCTTTGAATCTCGCCACCTGCTACGTTATGATCAAAGAAAATAGCGCAAGAGATGAATATAAACAAATCCACGCGTCGGACACATCTTACCTGCAGCAGCTTTCTCATGTCCGGCGATTTGCCAAAATCAACGGTGTGCTTCAGGCATCTCGTGATCGCTGGGAACAACATCGGGACCAGCTGCGATCGCGGATTCTGCTGCGCCAGTCTGGTGAGTACCCTCGTGAGTGACGCCGGCGGCACCGCCTTTTCCAGAAGAGGAGCCACTATGATAACCACATCCTCCACCCAGTTTTTACGATAACGAACAAAACCCTCCACGGATTTCCCATCTGAATCAGTCTCAGCGTTGGGCTCGTCCAACAATTTAACCACCGCTTCCAATGGGGCACCGGCTACCCTCTCGTCCTGGAGCGGCGTCCACAGAGCGAAGTCTACCATAGTGCGCAATTCGCGTAGTATCACGTCTTCTCGAACGGTCATCGACACCAGGTGTTGATACTTAAAGATGCTTTTCTATAGGCAAACGAATCGATTTCGGATGATTCGCGAATTCGAATTATTTAAACGGCGAGTTCTCTCATTAATTCGGAAATAAAAAAGTCTCAAAGCAAAATGATAATTATATAATAAAAAATACTATGTAAACGTGATAAGTATAAAGCAAGTTAGTTAGTTAAAAGAGTTCTCGTTAAAAAATTGAAATTAAAAATCTCAAAGTAAAATGATAATTGTATGATAAAGAATGATATGCAAACATGATAAGTAAATAAAGAAGATTATAGAAATCTCAAGATTTTCAAACGTATGATGCATTCGTTACAGCAAAATTTAATCATTAAAAAAGGATAAAAATTGCTTGCTGCTAGTTAATAAAAGAATTTTCATTAAAAAATTGAAATAAAAGATCTCAAAGCAAAATAATAATTGTATGATAAAAAATGATGTGCAAACATGGTAAACATAAAGTAATAGAAACCTTAAGATTTTCAAATGTATAATTTATAGCAAAGTTTGTTATAGCAAAATTTATTCTTAAAAAGAATAAAAATTGCTGCTAGTTAATAAAAAAATTCTCGTTAAAAAATTGAAATTAACTGTCAAAATGTCGTTCTAAGGTATCGTCTATATCTATGACGCTGAAAATTGAACTGAAACGAATCTGCCTTTCGGCGAACAGGGTCAATCTCGCAGATGTCACGACATTTAGACCGTCAACGGTATGGACAATGTTTTCATCAAGAATATAACGCCATAAACAATAACATTCAATCAATCGTTATGGCCGACCCGATCGCTGCGATTTACTCATCGTGCGGCCACGATGAGAAGCCGCTGATTAATTTCCCGACCGGATATTAAATCGTGGCGACTTCTATAAAACACTGACATATCCGGGAGATTTGATCCGGCCGAGAACGATCGAGAACGTTCGCCTTTCGCGCCGTTATCATTTCCTCCTGTTTTAATCTTACATTGGGCTTTAATAACGCTATGTTTGCTCTGCCGTTCACTGTCGACCCACGTCAAGCATCGGAAGGCCGATATTAAAAAAATATTTGGTATCAGCGTTCGCATTCACGCGAATAACATCGATCGTTCGCCGCACGAAAAACGCCAGTCGAAAGATGAGTAAACGCAGTGCTCTATTGTTAGCTTAAAAAATTTTTGAGTTAAAAATGAATCGAAAGTCCACCGTTTTTTATCGCTATTAACATGGTAAACAAGCATTGGCAAATCTCGTAACGTGGCCAAATAAAACATTAATGTTAAACCCAGCCAACGTCAATGATTTCGCATGTTAGGCCCACGTAAACATCGTTTTGCACTCTTCAAAATCTTTGATCCTTGAAAACAGTCGCGTCGCAATGAAAATAACCGATTGAAATAGGACAACAATAAATAATAAGGATTTTCCTTACGTACTTTCCATAATATCGAATGGTACCACTGGTCCCTCGTGTAAGCGTTGCTGGCTTGCAGAAGAAGCGAACCATCCGGCAGGACGATGCTGAGGCAGTTCTTATACACGGGGTCCCACCTGGCGGCGACGTATTTTCGGACCTCCGACATGCTGCTGTACGGAATAGGTTGTTGGAGAAAACCCGTGAGCTGGAAGAAATAGATAAAAATTTCAAAATTCACAAAAGCAGCATTCGATGTTTTTCTGTGGGAAAGCATCATAGTCGAATGATGATATCATTTACGAGTATAATCGGATTAAAAGTATTAGAAGCTATTTCGAACTTCTTATCTTATTGGAAAAACATTATTATGCAAAATGTTGATAAATATACTCCATTAAACGAAATCTCCATATAATGTGCAAAACTTGATTTCCATACATCAAGATACGCCAATGTATGCATACAGAGAAGCACTAAAAGATCAATACGTTATTAATAGCTACAAAAACAGCCATAAAATTAATCATGTATGACAATCGGTCCAGTTAACAGTTTCATTCAATTATATAATTAAGGTGAATAAAAATAACATCCAACATTAATTTTATGGCTAAGTCAGAATTATTTTGTATTCATTATAGCGAGAGACGTCATTTTACTAGCGATAAAAAATTTGTGATAATAATATTCTACAAAAAAAAAGACAAAAAGAAAACAAAGAGAAATTGCAAAAAGAGTAAGATAATTTAGCGGCTTCTTATAAATCAGATTGACTTTTCGCATTTTATTGAGGAAAAAACACAATTTATTATTTATACATCGATCATCAATTATTTCAAGATTTGTGCCATTCATAATCGAATTATTATTGTCGTTTGATGTATGAACACAACAATTGAACGTTATCCACTAATTATATAAGTTTATCTATATAATTATCTAAGTTTTATCGTTTGGTATATAGATAATAAGAACGCTGATATGTAATACTGGCATTATTCTGCGAAAGTTATTATACTAATATCGATAATTTAACAGAAAAATGCCATACAAATTAATCTTAAAATTATCACGACACAATATTATTGTTTGAAGTGATTAAAATGATTAAAAAACAGATAATTATCAGATTTATCGATTTTTTTCCCTATTAAATTTCATTTTAAATGTAATGAGATATGACTACCGATTTTTTAGAAGAAAACTGGAAAGAGAGAGGTTCTAGGCAGTCAAAAGTATATATGAAAATCCCTCAAAGTCATACAATTTAATTTGCAATCTCACGCTTGGGGAACACGATGAATTTTTTTTTTAATACTAAGTTTTGAAATAGCTTCTCAGATTTTCTTTAGAAATGACGTAATCACACCTATTGTAACGAGACATATGAATGTATAAAGCGATACCGGCAAATCTGGCCGTGGCAACAAAAAAGCTGACTTGACAAAGATACGAGAAAGAAGGATAGAGAGGCAGGGAGAGAGAGGAGGATGAAAAAAGGG